TTCAGCTGCGGGTCGGTTCCGACTCGATGGTACACAACAACTATGCACATGTGATACATTTGCACTGGTGCCTGGGAGTTAAGGTGTTTGGAGAGTGGAGATCCTGACAATATCCTGAAAAGGCAGTAACATTTACTTGCGCGCCTCGAGCTCTGCCCAGTAGAGAGGTACATCCATCAGTGGTGGCTAATGGTGCAGATCTCCCTCACTGACTAGAGAGGAAACAAGATCCATAATTGTACCCAGATTGGGGGTTCTAAAGCTGAGGAGAAAGTCTCTGTTTCATCCAAGAAGTAAACTTTCAGGGCATAAAAAATTTTGTTGTGGTTGTGTGCCATCAAGTCAGTACCAGCCCATAGCTGACCCTCCAGCGGGTTTTCAGAGGCAGTAATCTCACGGGAGGAGATTGTTTATCTTGCTTCCATGGAACTGTGTGTCTTTGGGATTACAATGCAGCTTGGTTTTGTTTTTTTTGTTTGTTTGTTTGTTTTTAATTTTTTTATTTAATTTTATTATCTTGTGTGTGTGTACTGTCAAATCAGATCTGACTGGTACAGGAGGAGATTGTCTCTCCGTCTCCAGCAAAGCATCAGGTGGATTCGAACCGTGAACCTCTGAGATTGCAGTGCAGCTTCTTGCCACTAGGCCACCAGAGCTCGCCACAATGCAGCTTGTTATCACGAGGCCACCGGAGCTCCAAAATAATATAATCTTGGTCATCTTGAAACTTGGAGCCCCACCCTTGCCTGATGAGGCAGTATGATGACTGTGACGTGTAGTGAGGAGATGCATGTTTGGGAAGAGGACAAACACACAGCAAGGCTTGCATGAGTAAGAGGATGAAGGAGAAGAACATCAGAATGAAATGCAGGAGCGGAAGGTGCATCAGGACAGGGGGCCCCTCCCACAGGACCCCAGTGACAAGGGTGAGTGGTTACGTACTGATGGGTCACCCACCGATGAGGATCATGGGCCGGTTCTTCATCTGGGAAATACTGAACATGCCTGGGGTAAGGGAAAGACGGGGAGGGAGAGAAAGAGAGGGAGGACAGTTCACTGAAGGGAACTGATGGACAAGAGGTGTGACAACCATCTGTACACATGCAAAACCAGCACCCACTATATATATGGCAAGGCTGTCCACAAGAGGACCCGGAGAACAGTCTGCGGACACCCAGGACCCAGCACCCCCCAAACAAGTGCAGGATAAGGGGCAAAGTCACTTTTCCTTCTCCCACCCAGTAACACAGCCCACAGGATTCCAGCTCCCCTCTCCAGTGCAGGCTCTCCTTGGGCAACTTCCCTAAGAACCATCACCACACCAAGGTCTAGATGTCCAGGACAATCCCTGAGCTCCCATCAGCTTCCTCCTCAGCTGGCCTTTCTTCTTTCTCTTTGCAATTTACTACCCTCCCTCCTGTTCACACTGGCCCCGCCACCCAGCCCAGCCTTCCCCACCCCTAGCCACACCTGCGTGCTGCCGCTTCTTTCTGCCCACAGCAGCCCCGATGATGGTCAGCAGCTCCTCCTCTGAGGCCCCCATCCGCAGGTGATCCCGGAGAGATACCTCTGAGTTTCCAAAAAGACAGACCTGTAAGGGACATAATAAATATGTGCACAGTAAGTCTAACCATTTCTCTCTCAGCCCTGAACTCTGATTACCAGGCTTCTTCATAGCAGATCTCCACATGCAGAATCTCCTATGGGCAGGTTCACACTCAAGGCAAGACACCTTTGCAATCTGTGGACAGAAGGTGCTGAATGGAGGGGTCCGAGAGGCTGGAAGCACACTATTATCTGTGATCATATTTCAGTCAACTTCTGGGATACACTTTTTTTAAAGTAAATAGCTGTCGGAGCTCTGGTGGTGTAATGGTAAGGAATTATGCTGCCGATATGAAGGAGCTTGGTTTGAACCCACTAGCTGCTCTGCAGAAAAAAATATACAATCAGTAAACTCTCCTTACAATGTTTAGATTAATATGAAGAGAGAGGGATGGGCAGGGAGAAAGGTACAACAAGGAATGAATGGAAATCCAAAGTCTCTGTATATTTTCATTAAAATTAATTAAAAAAAAAGAAAGAAAAATGTTTAGATT